TTTTCGACATTTTTTTGTCTTATCCTATCATTATTTTTGTTTTTAATATAAGAGAGGTACAGACCCTCGTCTACCAATCTCAAGGTGTGGGTTCGAATCCTAGACCCGGCATTTCATCAACCGACTATTTTTATTAAAATAAAATAGTTTGGGTACTAAAATTCGACTCAGCCTTAAATGAGTATAGGGATTCACAATCCTGAGGTAATAATAGGCTGTTGAAGCGTAGTGCTAGCCACATTACCTTCCTTGTATAACGACGGCTCTAGCATGGCAAGCTGTACCTTGCTTCCAAGGCGTTAAACGCTATATACGGAAGCTATTATATATTATAATATATAAATTTACCACTTCACAAAAATAACTTTGGCTTCGGCATCGGCTAAAGGTGACCTAAAGACCGATTTCGGCTCCGGCTTCGGCCAAAAAAATCACATTCGGTCGGTCTTTAATCCCCATGTAACAAAACATATTTTATTTACACCTTGTAGGTAATATATGAAAATATTTCTAAAATGTACCCTAATATTTTTCGCATATTTTATAAAAAGAAATCAAGGAAGCAAAAAAACAGGAATGAAAATGTCAAATAGGAAGCTTAATTGGAGGTTTTTGTGGATACTCTCCGTTTTTATTTTTTTTAATAAAATTGTAGAAAAGAAATAATATTCGCAGTCTTTAGAGTTATTTGGCATGTTTCTCATTCATGAACAAACGTATTCCCACTTTTATAGTATTTTATAAAAAATGCATTTGAAAATGTCCCATTTGCAATAAATAATCTCATACCGTTTCCTCATCATGCGCCACCTTTGATTGTAAAGTGAAAGCATTAATACTGCTGGTTCGATTTTTCAACTTAGAACTCTTTAAAATAAGAAAGTAAAATCTTAGTGTATCAGAAAATATTCGTTAGATTGTGCTAGCTTTATGTTTGAAATATTTAACCAATATAATACCGTATGATCAAAGAAAAACGACGTCAAATACGGCTGGGGAATGAGAATCGATGTTATTTTTTGCGAGGTCAATCTCTAGACGTTATTTTAATATACATATAATAAAAATTTAGATAAAACTTACAATTCATTTGTTTTGTTAATAGGTGGTAAATCTAGAATGATATTGTGCCCAGAGCTTAGTTTGACAATAATATTGCGAATTGCCGAAAAAGAATGTAAATTTGTTAGTTATGCAGAAAAAATCAGCAGAAATAAGGAAACTTTTTCACTAGTAAGCAACTATTCAATATACGTTACGTGTAGTAAGCCAATCAATTAAGAAATACTTAGAATTAACTAATCACATACAGGGTTGTCCCAATATCCCGTAGACATAAAACTACTACGTATTTTTTGGAATCAAAATCTGGGGACACGGCAAGTGCCCCCGCCAAGTCGACACAGCCGTACCATCCTTTTCTCGAAGGTATTAGCGGCACTTTTGACCACCCTGTAACTTCGTTGTGGATAAAGCAAGAATATTAATTTTCACTACACTTGAAAACATACTATAGCTGGTTAGATTACCAAAATATCTAGTAATTATGCCTCATAGTTTATGAATTATAGCTTGTCATTTTTTTTAATTTCGATATTGACTCACTGACAGATCACCAAAATTTTAAGGTACTTCTAGATGTGTCACAAACTCCAAATTTAAAATTTTAGGTAGCTTTAAGTTCATAACCAAAGGAAAGAATGAAAAATCTCGAAATATCCTTATGGATTAAAAGTTAGCTGTCTAGCCGCTACCGGTAACTGCCTTTCCAGTCGAGCAAAAAGGTAGAAAACTAGAATTAATCGGAGCGGTCTCCTGCTGATTTTATTTATATATCAATGTACCAACAATAATTCAAGGATTATGAATTTTTTCTTGTCGGACTTTAACTTGTAATGAAGTCCCTAGGTATATTTTTTTTGTTTAATAGGTTAAATGCTAGGCTTGAACATATATTGAGGAAGGCTTGATAGGCTAGTCGGCAAGTGTGTCGATGGCGAGGAGCAAATCCGGACAAGTTGGAATAAGTTTTATTTTGTTTAGTTTGGTTTCGAAGAAGCACGTATTAAATTTGCACTCCCGTAAAGCCCGGGTTTGATTTTTTCCATCTTGGAAAAATTGGCTAAAATTTAGTTTATTTTTCATTATTTGTCAATAACTCGATTTCTATCAACTTTAGTGCAAAATATGTAGAGACCAAAATTAAAGAAGAGGAAAAACTCTATAAAAAACATTGTATGGTATTTTTTCGTGCGACTACCCGAAGTATCGAATTTTACGAAAACAAAATTAAGGTTTGATATAATGTAGGTATTCAATATATCCAGGGTTAACTGTAGTTATTTCCACACCACTTTGAGCGGCACCCCCGAGACATCAAGCCTAAAAACTTGTTTGCCACTGGTTGGCAGTAGCCTGCTGTCACGGTCATAATGGAAAAAACGCAATTTCATTATGACCGCAATAACCAGACTAAATTTTGTTGTTGCGTGACTGGTGGAAAATCAAGTTTAACCGCACTTATCTCTCAGGGGAGTTGCCTTGAGGTAAAGTACCCGGTGCGTTTTTTGGTGGTCTCCCCATTTCCAATAGGCCTAATCTACATGACATCAACTTAGGTTTCTTTTGAGGTGAAAGGCTCATCAGAGTTCCTTCGTTTTTTTGATGTTACTTGCTGTTCAATATAATCTTCCTGAATGTCTTCCACATCTGTATCATATTCCGGATCTGGTTCATAAGGTGCAGAATATTCTTTTCGTTGATCTTTATCGAGAGGAAAATTGTCCTCGTACTCATCATCATCCGTATAGATGAAGAAAAAATCGTTGGCCAGCTTTTTCTATATCTTTGGGGATGCGTTTGGGTCTTTGAAAGTTTGTGCAGCTGTCTGTAATAATTCTTATTCTTTCTGTAAAACTTTAAAACGAATTTCATTTTTCCTTGTCTGTTTAATGCGGATGTGGTGTCGCAGCCACTAAATGCGTGGAGAAATAAAAAGAGTAAGGTTCTCGGAAAGACAAAAACTGCCTAGAATAGAGGAAATAATAACTGCTTATAATATATTTAGCGTATTTAAACCGATATAACTTGGAAACGGATCATCGAACGGAAGAAGTACATAGAACGTTTTTTATAGAGTTTTTCCTCTTCTGTAATTTTAGTCTGTACATTTTTTTGCACTAAAGGTTGATAGAAATCGAGTTATTGACAAATAATGAAAAAATAAACCGAATTTTAGCCACTTTTTCCAAGATGGCAGCCAAATCGGACTTTGGGGTGGTGCAAATTTAACACGTGGTTCCTTACACTAAACTAAACAAAATAACATTTATTCCTGGCTTGTTCGGATTTGCTCCCGCCATAAGCTATTTTTTTAATACTTGGCGACTGGCCTATGATAGCGCGGCGCGAAGTATTCAGCTGGTACACCAGGGACCCGGTTCGAGGTTGCCTCGGGGCATATTTTTTATTTTATTTTCGTTAATACTCTGATTGTAAAATATTAAATACAAATCTTAAACAATAATTCAAAGGACTCTGAATTTTCTCTAGTCAAACTTCTTTAAGTTCGCCTGTGACTCACTCGCCGTCATCAAAATCTAAAGTACTTCTAGATGTAACACAAACTTTGAACTTTTGGTAGCTTTAAGCTTATAATGGAAGGAAAAAATTAAAAATCTTGAAATATCCTTATGGCTCAAAAGTTAGCTGTCTAGTCGCTATTAGTGGTAACTGACTTTTCGGTGATGGTAATAGGACGACCGGTGATTGTTTTAAAAATTTTGATTTTTATATAAAGGCACCATCTATCTAAAATATTTTCAGCGTTACAGTGTTGCCGGATCATTTGGAAAGTGGTAGCATCTTTGTTATTTTAAATGGAAGTATATTATTACATTTTTTGGAAACTACTCTCATATCTCTTACAGTTTTTCGAGATAAAAAATAAAATTTGTGTAAAACTGACAAAAAAAATAATTTTGAATAAGCATTGGTAAAATTATGAATTGAACATTTTTAAAGTTGATATTTGAGTTATAACGAAAAACTAGAATTATTTCAATTGATATTATCTGACTTAATTAATTATACGATAATTCAAAGTTTATGAATTATATAGTCAAACTTCTTTAATATTATTTTGAATGACGAATTTAAAAATAGAATGATAACCTACAAAAAGAAATAAATCCCATCAAAAACATAGAATGTAAAAAAATGCCAAGTCTCGCAACACAATTCTTCCGCTATAAAAAGTTGTGAGATCTCGTGTAAAACAAAGTCAGTTTATTTTATTTAGTCTCTCTTTAAGCACCTATTCAACAATTTTGATATAAATTGTTAGTATCAATATTAGTCATCTTTATTTCTATAATAATTATAATGACTTGGTAATTGCACGATTTGATATTCTATAGTAATTAAAAAACTTTATTCTTAAGTGCACCGTTTAGATTCACTTAGTAATCGAAATAGTAGATTATTCTTTTTTATAATAATTTTGGTGCCCTGCATGCAATTGCCAAGTCATTATAATTATTATAAATAAAAATGACTGACCTATTGATACTAATAATTATATCAAATTGAGTGAACGAGTGCTAAATAACGACAAAATAAAATAAGCAACCCCAGTTTTACATGAGATCGCACAACTTTTTATGGCGCAGGAATTCTCGTTGCGAAACTTGGCATTTTCACCTTCTATGTTTTTAAAGTTTATTCCACAGAATTCGTTTTAGATAACTTTATCTAGGTTGATATCTCCTTAATCTTTTTCTGCAAAATTTATATACAAGCTATAGCTACATGTTCATTTTTATGGAACACTAAATATTAGTATGATATTTTGGCAAATTCTTCCGGAAATCCACGTTCCAAAAACCGGATTTTTCGGGAAAATCAGTCAACTCTTCGCTCGTCCAGCCAGGTCGTACTACCACGGACCTTTGCTACGCACACCTTGCGTTCTCTCTCTTATAACTGCAAATCTTCGGCTGCGTTGCCCAGTCACAGTCACAGTCTAATAATGAAAGCAGCGTCTTCTTTGTTGCTCGTTCTTGCACTTGCTGGTAAAGTTTTTTAACAACTTTTTATACAACTATCATTTAATCTACGAGTGATTTTTACTTAAAGATCATACCTGGACTTTTCGGTTTCAAATTTTGGAGTCATCAAATTGATCGAAAAGTGAAAGCTCGCATGTTACGATGAGCCGTTGTTTACTCCTGATGACATTTCTCGAATTCTTCTTTGAATGTTAATTTTGTAAAAGGTCACAGTAAAATGCCACATACGTGTTTAACAGTTGATCGTGGTTTATTTGGTTTTCTCAATATTAAGGTGAATAAAGAAAAAATATAAAATTTTAAAAATCTTGCATATTTTTGACAGACAGTGGACCATGCTTTCCTTCAGAACATGACGATCTCTATAGATCAATTTATACAGGGTATAAATGAGAAGTGCAACTCCTTAAGAAAGTGAGAGATGTTTTATTTCCATATAAAGATTTCTGATCTGGTGTTTTAATATAAAAAAAAATCTATGTATGATCGAGAAAAATTTGTAACAAGTTGGCTTGGAAATGACGATTGATGACATTTATTATTATACAGGGTGGTCTGAACTGTATTCCGGAAACTTCGGCAGTATATTTTGCAGATAAAAATAATTTGAAAAAAAAAGTTTCTAGAAATGTTAGTCCTAAAATGCTTAGTTTGGGAGATACAGGGTGTAGAAATTTCATTTTTATCGATTTTTTCTAAATAATTTCTGAAGTAACGTCAATATTTGGATGAAAATTAGTGTCTGCGAGTTTTTTGGCATGAGAAATTTGACTTTGATGTCAATATGACTCCTACTTGCAGAGGGCGCGGGGCGCCACGCCGCCACCTACCTATTTTTTAACTGATTTGAAGAGTGAGTGAAAAAATATACATTTACGGCATTTTCTACATAAAAAAGGTCTCTTGGTAAAAATGGTTATAAGTAAAGGTTTTCGAGATATTTAAAATAGAAATTATCAATTCCTGTCGTCATTGATATAAATTAAAGATGTTGACTAAATAGTTATTAGACTGACATCATAAATTTGAAATGTTCTTGGACCAAAAGTCCAACAGAAACTGTTTTGTCATTATTTTTTCGAAGAAAAAATTATAAATAATTTAAAAAAATAAAATGTTTCCAAATTTGTCATTTCAGTCAAATAACTAGGTAGATATCTACTCAACACGTTTATTTTTTGTCAATAATGACATGTATTGACTATTTCCATTCTAAATATCTTGAGAACGGTTGCTCATAGCGATTTTTACCAAGAGATATTTTTTACGTAAAAAATCAGGGAAATGTACATTTTTTCATTCAGTAGTTTATACAGGTACGGACGAAAAGTTATTACTCTTCAAAACAATTAAAACACATGTAGGTGGCGCCCCCTACAAGTAGGAGTCATATTGACATCAAAATCAAATTTTTCATCTCAAAAAACTCGCAGACATCAATATTCATCCAAATATTTACGTTACTTTCGAAATAATTTGAAAAAAAAACCAAAATAAATATGAAATTTCTACACCCTGTATCTCCGAAAACAAGGATTTTAGGACATACATTTATACGAACTTTTTTGCTTATATTTAACTGCAGAATAGGCTGCCGAAGTTTCCGGAATACAGTGCGGACCACCCTGTATATTTTTTATGTAAAATGAGAGCAATTTTCTTTTCTAAGCTACCTCTGACGCAGATTTTCTAATTCACCGCAATATACCAAAACAGTTTACTTTTCACACTGAACGCGCGTTTAGCTAACCATGTTAGCATCATCAGCAGATGATTGAAACAAAACTAATATCTACAAATTGAGAGTTGGTTAGCGAAACTCGCGTCCAGTGTTTAAATTAAAGTGTGTCGGTGTATGGTGGCGAATTAGTGTTTTATTATGTTGTTGTACCACCAAAAGTTCCAAACCCTAACGGTAATATTGTATGGTATTTGGTCATATGATGTAAGGTGAACGAAAATCGCAACATTTTTCTAAAATGGTTTAGACTAAAAAGTTGATATTTGATGTATGAATATTATTAATAAGTCATATTTTCAGGTTGAGTGTCATGTTTTTAAGTTCAATTTCACTTGTAACATTTTACTACATTTACTTTTATATCCCAATAATTTGAAAATTATAATTTTCTGGGTTATTTAATAAACTTAGACTGGACATTACACTTGTAAACAAGCAGTAGACCTGTCAATATTTTCGTCTACACTTTACCTAGTAATATATGACATATGCCAATCTTCGCTTATTAAATACATATATGTATTGTGATTTTGATTTATTCAATATAAATAAACATTTTGTCAATGAAAGCCAACTCGAAACACTTTAAATAGAAAACTGACATTATTTTTGAAAAAACTGTCACATCTTGAATTTCCTCGACCTTATTTATAATCTGTATATACAGGGTGTCTCAGAAATAAGTGCAAGTATTTTAACTGGTTGTATATTTCGGCCTCAGAAACACGCTTAATACGCCTATTTTGTGAAAAAAAATTGAAAATTTGGAATTTTTTGAATAAAATTTTGGATTTTTTTTAGTTTTAAGTTAAAAAACATAATTTCTTGATGATATGACAACATAGGTAGTAGCTTAAATTTACATGAAACAAGATCCAAAAAAGATCCAGTGGTTCTCAAAATTTTACCTAATATTAATTAGCAAAAAATATTTTTTTGGAAATTTTAAAAGTAAAATAACTCGGTTATTTTGGACTTTTTTTTTTGAAAAACGGTAAAGAGAAATAAATTTGAAAAACGGTAAAGAGAAAAATGTTTCTTTTGACTAGATGTACCGTCCCTTAAAATACTTGCACTTATTTCTGGGACACCCTGTATAATTATGATTTTAAAATAATTTATAGGAATTAAAGGTTGATAAGAAATAATGCAAAATGGCGTTGCTTGTTGTCTTGTTGTATATGCTTTTATTTTATTTAGTTTGTTATTATATTATGTATACTTTTCAATATTTTAGTATTAATTATAATAAAATTAGACTCTTATATGTAAATAAGAAAGTAAATAATTTTCCGATAAATATAATATTATTTTATAGCATTGCTAAATTACTTCATTAGTTTTGTTTTATGTAAGAGCTATGAATGGATATGTGTTGTTAAACAACAGTTTGATTTTAACTTAACACGCAACTAAAATGCATAACTAAAATAATACCGTAAGATCGAAAAAAACGGCGTCAAAGATGGCTGGGGAATGACAATCCATGATAATTTTAGCCAGCTCAATCTCTACCTGTCATTTACAAAAAAAAATTGTGTGTGTATGACAATACTTGTTAAAATTAATACTAATTATAGAAATATTAAGAAAAGGGAACCGTTATTCCCCATTTCGAGACACCAAATTTATTTCCAAAAAATATTTTTCTGGAATTTTAAACTTTAACATTTAAAAATAATATTTACTCGATATAAAAATAAGTTACTACCTTCTTAAGGTCAACTGACCGTAAGCGCCATTAAAAATATAGAAGAGTACGGGCTGGACCTCGCCAAAATTATTTTTGATGGTCATTTACCAGCAGTATTTGACGCCGTTTTTTATAGTATGGTATTAGAAAGATTGAGAATTTGAATCCTTAAGAACTGAATCCCCCCTTAAGTGGAACAGTTTGAATCTACAATAATTATATCCCTAATAATATATTTTTAATGTCCTCTCCTCTTTTATAATACTATTCTTTTTACCTATGTATTTGACGTACGTAAAATTACAAAATAATAGTATTATTTAAATGTAAACTCCTTCCTTTCTTTTTGTTAAACCAATGTTAGAATACCTACTAATATTTATGGAAAAATAATATGAACACAATAAAGAATTAATGTCAAATAATAAAAAAATCACAGACGTAGGTAATTAATATGTTTGTTCAATGAAAAACTATATGACAGTGACATCTGTTATCTATCATATTCATTCAAAAGTAAATTGTTTTTATTGCATTTGTGATTTTGTTTGTCGAAACCGTTTGTGATGTCGTTTCTTACCTTGATTATCACAGACATAATTATATATGTTGGAGGCAGATGTCGAATTTAGGCCAATGTCCAAAATAATTAGACATATGGCGATATGTCCATACTAAACTTGCCAGGGGGTTAATTTTTTTTTGGTATAATATAACAACAAAAGATTAACACCCTCCGCATAGAAGTTGAAACCAATGTAATCAAAACTCTTCCGCGTAACTTTGTGGATATAGGTAGGTATATTTAATTATAATCGCCATATGTCTAATTTTTGGCATTTGCCTCCAACATATACATTTTTCTAAAAGAATTTTAAAACATGAATATAAAAAATAAAATTGATACTTTTTTCTATGGTTGATTAACAACTCTCAACTAATTTAACATAATTTTCTTTTTTATAAATATACAATGTACTTTCAATAATTATTTTTGCCCCGAAGATAATTGTTACGGTCTATGTATTGTTTTCTAGTTCGTGTTGTCTGTTAAAATATTTAATATCAAATTTAAAACCCATCAAGTACATCACTTTCACTTTCTCAAATTCCCGCTGGACAAATTATCATAACTAAACAAAAATGATTTAAGTTGAAACCTTGAAATATTCTGAAATATTTTCTCACAGTCTATAAATTTGAGATTATTATTACTACTATTCAAATTTTAATATACAGGGTGCTACAAATTCGAGGTACGAGTATTCGCATCTCGGTAACCGTAATATATACGAATATGGTTAAATTTTGGCAATGTTGCGCTTTGGGATGTTCACCAAGATGCCATCCAAAAAGTTTTAAAAATTTCAAGGATTGCTTGAGTTTTTTGGAAATCAATTTTATTTTTTCCTGTCGTTACTTTTTAGAAAATCAAACAACTAATTGCACATTCTCGTAGCCACTTTATTAGGGTTATCTGGCAGTATTATTATATGTTCAGTTAGCTGCATTTGCAATTAGTTGCTAATCTGTGAGATAGAGAGGCCAACTTAATTTTTTTAAATACGGACCTGCATTTTTATTTCAAGTTTTGAAAGAACTCGGTCTCTTGAGTACAATGATACAACAACAAAACTCAATATACAAACGAAGCACTTTTGTATACAATTAAATTGTGTCCAATGAACTTATACGTAGCAGTTCTATATCCATGGAATATTGGGACAGTCTGTATATTGTATATTAAAAAATCTTACTGACGTGTTGCTGAATTTGAAGAATTTTACTGACGTGTTGCTGAATTGTGTGAAGTGTATACTGAAGATGGATCACTGTTCCTAATATTGGGATTGTTATGATAATACTCTCAAAATTGAAGTCAATTAATTTTAAATAATTTGGAACATGCCTTATTTTCACTGAATTTTTAAAGTTCCATTTATATATTTCATAATATAGGTATTTTTTGAATTGTAATAAGTCAATAAATTATTGTTTTTATAAATTCTATATTTAATAGACATTTTTAAAAGGTTTATCTTAAATAAAGACTTCTTTCTTTCCAAATTGTATTGTTTGATAATATCCAGCACTCTGACAAATATTTAAATAAATGATAGAAAGAAAAGTATGCCTTTTTCAGATTAAGTTTGTTTTATTCATTATATCACAACTAGCTGACCTTAACAAACAATAATAAAAATACTTTGATATATCATTCACAGTCATTCTTAAGGAAAGTGATATATTGAAAACTTAAATACAAATGAACGGATACAAACTAAGTTCAGGAAGAAACAAATTGCATTTTAAATAATAATATATGCAGATTCAGATTACAAACAATATCTAAGAACACTTCTTGTTGGCTCATTACTATTAAACAGACTTATCTAACCAACAAAAATATATCACGCTTCATGCTGAACCATTGACAGAAAAATAAAATGAAAATAAATAATAAAAAATTTTAGTAAAAATTTTTGATCAAATGCAAGTCGAAAAGTTATAAAAATGTTTTTACTGTATTGTAGTGAATTAAGAAGTTTGATAGTTAGATACACTTCAATTTTTATTACATTTTTGGGTTACTAAAAACCTCAGATGTACAGTAGAAAATATTTTATCATAGAATACTTTATAATAAAAATTGTACGTAGCTATATATTCTGTGATACTATTCACATACCGTTAGAAAAGAATTAACTTTTATCTTGGTATTTGCAGCTTGCGCATATGCAGCCTCCTCTAGAAAATCTTCGAAATCAAAAAGCGAAGATGATGCTCTAACGTCAGACGAATGTCCCGAACCGAACGGCTTCTTTGCTGATGCAGAGCAATGTGATAAGTACTACCAATGCGAAGAAGGTGCCATAACTGAGAAACTATGTCCTGATGGTATGGTTTTCAACGATTACAGCACTGAATATGAAAAATGTGATTTACCATTCAATATTGATTGTAGTGCAAGACCTAAACTGCGTAAGTAGCCTAATAATTAATATATGGAGGAAATAATTTGAATTTTTTCTTTAATTCGTTCTTGTATCTCAGATTTAATACTATCGTTGACTGAAAGAATTGGCTAGATACGCAAACTAATGGGCGAATTCGTGACAAGGCTGATTTGATTTCCCCTTACGTCTCAAGTGCTGTACGGTGGAGACACCAATCGTTCTGCGGCCAACGCATAAAACACATATTTTCTCTAATTCGGCCAGCGAAGGCATATTGAAGACGGCGTGGAATTGAAAGCGACAGTGTTGCCATATTAAAATGTGTAATATCTGTAATACGTTTGACGAAAATATTTTTGGATGAAAAATCCCCGTCTATGCATTGAAAATTTATTCGTGTCAAACATACAGGGTCCGGCAATAGTGCGTCGGGCATCTGTAGCTCCTAGAATCAAAAACTTGAGAATTTTGTTTAAGTGCAAACCTAAAGTATGTACCAGGATGTATTTCAGAAGGAAGAGTATGTTAACTTAGAGATTGGCACAAAAAAGGGTAGCGAAGTGGACCTGGATGATTTTTTAAATGGAACCTATATTATTGCATTTTTGGCTTCCTTTCAAGATCACTTTACATAACCTAAGATATGAATGAATATATTTCGATAGTTTCAGAGATATTAAATAATAAATCAAAATATATATTTTCAGCACTTCTTAAAAATTAGTAAAATACCGAAACTGTTCCGAAATCAAAAGTATATTAGGTATTTACTTTAGCTGGTCTGTTCTTACTTTGCTATAAATATGGTAATCGTAAAAATAATACAGAATGTTCAATATTCTACGCCAAACTTTTCTAAAATATAAAACAAAAAATATTTTTCTTTGTTTTTAAATGGGAAACTTACCCTGTATATTTTTTATTAGATCGAGAGATTTAAAAATGAACATTTTTTTGTATTTAGAGCATTTCAAAATTTTTTTAACGGTTTCGCAGATACGCGCATTATTATTTCATATAGCGCTTTCAATGGGTGAATGCAGGGAAAGATCGTTGGTTGGGCATTAAAGAGTTGCTGTGAGAAGATGCTGTATGAGGAATATGGGAACCATGAAGTATCTGCTGAGGCAGATTTACCAGGTTTGAGTACTCTAAAATACAAAAATGTTCATTTCAATTCTTTCGTTTTTTTTTATATTTATTTTAAATATGGTAAAGAGAAAAAATTTTGTTTTTAGAAGTTTGATGGTATT